TTATATTAAAAAGTGCGTTTCGTTTCGCTATATGTATCTTCTTTTAAAAAAAAAAATCTCGACAAAGAAGATAAATACGATCCAAATTAAATTTGGTATTCAGATATATTCTCCAAATCTGTCTATCGTACGATTCTAAAACAATTTTTAAAATCTAAAAAAGAAAAATTTGGAATCGGGAAACATTTACCAAATCTATCGTACAATTCCTTTTCGCTCTAAATACAAAAATCTAAAAAAAGAAAAAGGAGAAAGCTCGCTGTTAAAATTTGACGGAAAAAAAAGAAAAAAATACTCTTCCTATTTGCTGAAACATCAAGGGGGTTAGAAAAATTGGGGGGAGGGAGGGGAGAAATGGTGGAACGGGCAATTGGCAATTGTGCAATTGACGCGGGAACCACCACCTCTTGGCGAGAACCACTTGGCCGTTGGATGATATTTCTCGTCCGACAAAGATTCGTTCGCGTGTACAACACGGTTTCAACGCTGGTCGAAAAAAAAAAAAAAGAAGAAAAAAAAAAAAAAAATTTGCTTGCAACGCCCGTATCGATACACGGAACGTGGGGTGGAACGTGATCCGATTAAACTTATTTCTACCGTGCCGATTTTAATCTGTTGTCCCGAAATAATCCCGTTTCATCGAGTGAACTCGCTCGTACTATTCGATACACGCGATAAGGAAGAAACGAGATTCGGTTTCGACGAAATTCGGGACGATATTTTCCACCGCCATTTCGATTAAACGCCGTCGATGATAATTTTTAACGTTTCTCGCGTTTTATATTTTTCTTTTCTCCTGAACAATTTCTGAATTTCCGATTGATCGATAACTTTGAGTAGAATTTTTTTCTTTTTTTGAGAGTGTAACAGCGGATCTGAGATCCGAGGCGCAAAGAACCGACTGAGATAGAGAGAGAGAGAGAATAAGGAGGTACTAAAGAGACGTGTTTGCCATTTTCATTTACTTTCACTCCATCATCGCGACTAGAGATTGGTAAACTTCTCCTCAAATCCCTCAAATCCCTCGATTAGGTAAGGCTTGGTCAAAGAAAAATGAGAGTAGGGGGGGAAAAGTGGGAGGAGCAAAGGAGAGCAATCCTTTTTCGAAAAACATATAAAGCGCGTGAAAGCACGAAGTGTAGTTCTCTCCGAATCGATCGACGCTAAGCACCCTCGAAAATACATTCGAGTATATATTTCGATCGCGTTATTTTATAATCGAAGAAAATCCTTACAAAAGAGAACACGGAAATTGATGAAAAAAAAAAGAAATAAGATTTTTAAACGCTAGTCTCGTTTCCTAAATAATGCAATTTTTATAACAATTCGATCTCGCGCGAAATTTTAATTTAAATTTTATCATCGCGATACATCTCGACACGATTAATTCAACGGTGAAACTGATTACAGTTTCAATCCTAAACTGAAACGAGAGTAATTAATATTTTTATCTAAAGAAAAAGGAAGAAAAATGTTGCTTCGATCCGTAATCCTCCTTCCTCGAAATTTATCGATTTCTACTGAATATCGTTTGAATACACTCACGGTGTAATTAAATCGTTTTTGTTGATCGAGCACCAGCTACACCAGGAAGAGTTGCGTAATGTTATGAAGCAAAACGGAAAAGCGTTGGAAAGGAAGAAGCGGCTTATGAACAACAATCACAAACTCGAAGAAAACATATTCTTCTTCCTTCCCTCTCGAATAATCCTCCCTTCCTACATTCGCGCCTCTCATCGATATCTTCTCGATCGTTAGAAGAATAAATCGCGATAAGATTTAAAAATTACAGAATTCGTTATTTTCCTCGAGCAGAAACACTTTTCGATTCCATCTCTCCCTTTCGAATAATCTGTCATCTCTGTCATTCCTCGAATCTCGTGAACATTCGTATCGATAATAAAATCTAATAGCACGATGGAAATTTACATTTTTATTACTCGATCGCGGTCGAATCGTAAAATGAAGGAAGGAAGAAAGCAAATTACGGATCGAAGAGATCGGGAGGAGCGGAGAAGGAAAGGGAAGGAAAGGAAATTGTGTTTCATTCGTGACTACCTCGCGAGCCACGGATTATGATCGTTAAACGATAAATGAGCGTCGAGAAGCGTGAACGATAAAACCTGACGTGGCTATAATCGCACGTTGGGGAAGACGAATGCGTTAACCATAAAATTTCACTTGACGTTTCGCGTGCGAGCAAACACTTTGGTTATCGTGTCTAATTATTCACGCTGTAAATGCATTGTTCAACGTTCAACGTTTCGACAGCGCGATAAGGGGACGGATCCCCTTATCTTAAACCAGATTTCATCCCTTCAAACTCGCGATCCGACCGATAACATTTATACGTAATAGCCACTTCCGTTCAACGCTCGACTATCATTAATAAAATTATATATA